AGACATCCTCTGGTCTTAAGAGTCACTCGCGGTCTCATATGAGCGAACCGACGCTCCGGTGCGGCGCCGACGGCTGTAATGAAAAGTTTTTCACTCCGGGTCTACGACGGGGTCATCAGATCGCTGTCCACAATAGGAAACGGATTAAACATAAACCGAAACGAGAGCAAGCGTGCGATTGGCCCGGATGTGAATGGATGGGAAAAGGGATTAATGTCCATAAACTCGTCCATACGGGAGAGCGACCACATGTGTGCGTTTGGCCCGATTGTGGTAAGAGTTTTAAAGATAGGAACCGATTGAAAGATCACATGAATATCCACAACAATGTGCGCCCATATGTGTGTCAATGGCCCGGATGTGAGTACTCGGCCACTTGTTTTGAGTATTTGTTTAGACATAAGAAGTTTGTCCATAAAATGTAATGATTGTGTAATTTACACTTTAATATAATTTATTTGATATTTAATAAACATTATTAAAGAATTCAATTGACTTTTTGTATAAATAATTATATTTAATAAAAAGCACAACAATTTTAACTGAAATATCTATCAATTGCATAACAAGAATACATTTAAAATACAAAATAATAATTTAATTAAATTAAGAGTGAAGTTAAAGTTATTTTTGAATATGTTTTTAGCGATAAAAATGTTTGTATTAATAAACACTGTTTGAGAGAAATAATTGTTTACGTAATTAATAGACATTCCCTTCACTTCTCATTTGCTTTGAGTTTTGTTTACATTTTTTTGATTCAATTGTTGTTTAGTTTTGCACTTAATTTGTATTCAAATTAATTGTGAATTAGTTTTAAACGTTATTTTGCATTGAATTATGGATTCAATTATTTATATAAACGATATTTTGGATGAATTAATGAATGAAAACAATANTAAATATTAAAAAACTAGTGCTTGTAATTTTGAAAATTTTCGAAATTTCAAAGTCGATTATCTCGAATATGGCCGTTGAAAATTCGACCAAAATTGGTGTGCAACTAGATCATGGGGCCCTCTATCGGATGACACTTAGCAAATGCGCTGGACGGAAGAAGAGCCTCTGACCGAGTCCATCAAATGATCGACAAATGAGACAAAGATATGAAACACAAGAAGTGAATCAAAGTATTGATGATAACAGCGATGGCGTGAATGAAGACATGTTTGACAATAAATATTCATTAAATTCAATGACTGATGAAATGCAGACATTAATGAACAGCACTTCAAAGCCATCGACATCTCAATCATCACAAGAGATAGTAAACGAAGACATGAATGGGAAGAGTAGGGAAGACTCGATGGAAATGCCATCAAAACAATTGATGTCTCAATTGTTGGCACAAAATAAGACTAAAAGAAGTAAATGTTTTGATAGGACTCTCAAAGCATTCATTTGTCCCATAAATAAGTGCCACAATAGTTACCAAAAGGACCAATACTTTCAGCAACATTTGCAAAGAACTCATATCACAAAACAATACTTCTGCACTCATGAGGGCTGTGGTAAAGGCTTTAAGATTAAATCCAATTTAAGAACACATTTATTAATTCACAAAAATGTCAAATCATTTCATTGTCCACACAATGACTGCGAACACAAAGCCATTAATGATTACTATTTGAAAAGACATGTGAAGACACACTACTCGACGCTCAAACGGTTTAGATCTGATGTCAATGAATGTGATTATCGAGGCTTTGGTCAGCGGTATTACAAACGGCATATGAAGTTCCACTCAAATCAATCGGTGTCTGAAAATATACCACAAAATGTCATCCAAAGGAAGAAATGTTTGGATTTAACCACAAATGCATTCATTTGTCCCATAAATGAGTGCCACAAGAGTTGTGGAACTGATGTTAAGTTTAAGCAACATTTGCGGTCCGTTCACAGCGACGGACAATACGTTTGTGAATACATAGGCTGTGAGAATGTGTTTAAAACAAAACATGGCTTAAAAATGCATCAATTAATACACAAAAAGGCGAAACAATTTCATTGTCCACACAATGGCTGTGAGTCTAAAGCCATTAGCGATAGGTATTTGATATCACATCTGAAGACACACTCGACGGACAGTGTATGCAATGCGGAGAGCATTGAATCGGTAGTCAAAGAAGCGGAACCACTGACACAATACACGAAAGCCTTTACACTAAACACATTAGAGAGAAATCAATGCTTTGATCCGAAGACAAAGACCTGGAAGTGTCCGGGAATTGAGTGCCAGAAGTCATTTAAAACGCGTGATATATTTATACACCATTTACGTAACGTTCACTGCGAACCCCGATTTAAATGCCATTACGATGGGTGCGATAAGATTTTTAATAATAAGGAGAGACTCAATAGTCACTTATTAGTTCACAAAAATGACAAAAAATTTAAATGCGATTACAAAGACTGCGAGTACGCGGGCCTTACGATATGGGCCTTAAAGGCACATCAGGTCTCGCATTCGGCGGACAGATCTTTGTTTGACTGCCCGGTCGACGGGTGCGGGAAGTCATTCAAGACATCCGGTGGTCTTAAGAGCCACTCGCGGACTCATATGAGCGAACCGACGCTCCGGTGCGGCCGCGACGGCTGTAGTGAAAAGTTTTTCACTCCGGGTCAACGACGGGCTCATCAGATCGCTGTCCACAATAGGAAACGGATTATACATAAACAACGAAAGCGGCGGTGCGATTGGCCCGGATGTGAATATTTGGGAACTGGTGTTAGTGAGCATAAACGTGTCCATACGGGAGAGCGACCACATGTGTGCGTTTGGCCCGATTGTGGTAAGAGTTATAAAGATTTACAGCGATTCAAAGATCACATGAATATCCACAACAATGTGCGCCCATATGTGTGTCAATGGCCCGGATGTGAGTACTCGGCCACATGTTTTGAGTATTTGTATAGACATAAGAAGTTTGTCCATAAAATGTAATGATTGTATAATTTATACTTTAATATAATTCATTTGATATTTAATAAACATTATTAAAGAAGTAAATTGAGTTTTTGTATAAATAATTATATTTAATAAAAAGCACAAAATTTTAACTAAAATATCTATCAATTGCATAACAAAAATACATTTAAAAACACAAAATAATAATTAATATTGAAATCAAAGTTATTTTTGCAAATATTTAGCGATAAAAATATTTGGAAACACTGTTTAAGAGAAATAATAGTTTACGTAATGAATAGACTTTCCCTTCACTTCTCTTATGGTTTGAGTTTTGTTTACGTTTTTGTCATTCACTTGTGATTCAAAGTGAGACACAAGAAGTGAATCCAATTATAATAACAACGAATGTCTTCATTGCTTGAGAGCCCACTCTTGAGGTGTTGTGTCAGCGACTGTCAGATGATATTGGGATCAACTGATGACGTGTCTAAACACTTAGATCTTCATATATCTGAGCCGACCATTGAGTGCCGAACCGATGGCTGTGTTTACATGTTTTGCACTGAAGAGCAACGGATGAGACATAAGATGATAATTCACGCCAAAAGAGGTGATAATAAAGACGTGAATAGAGGGCCGCAAACAGTGGCGAACACGACATCAGTGTTGACAACATCTCAAGACATGATCAGAAGGAAAGCGAGAGAACTGATAGAACAGATCCAATCACACGAACCCTTCACTCAAGAGATCTCTAAGTATTGTCTAAATAAATACGAAAGAGAAAAATGCTTTCATTTCAATACAAAAGCATTCATTTGTCCCATAAATGAGTGCCAAAGAAGTTACGAAACGGACGATTCATTTCGCGACCATTTTTTCTATTATCACTCCAGAAGATTGGATAAAGACTGCGATAAAGCCATCGCTCGGCCGAAACCTTTGGCCACCGATAATAGTATTAACCCAAACGTTGTGATATATATTCCCGACCGACTCCAGAGCGGATCCAATGGACAACAAATGACACCACAAGAGGTTCAACACGAAGTTAGACGAAGAATGTTTCAAACCATTCAATGCTCTGAAGGCGTGTCTGTGTTTATATGTCTTGTCGGCGATTGTCTGATGATATTTATAACAGAAGAGAGTTTGCAAAAGCACTTGGATTTACATACGACTGATCCGACCATTGAGTGCGGAACCGATGGCTGTATTGATATGTTTCACACGAGAAACCAATTGAACAGACATTGGCTGAAGACTCATAGCCTGAATGCGAGTCACTCTAAGTATCAGATGCTTAATAAACAGTTTAGATGTGATGTCAATGGATGTG